TTTTTTTTTTTTTTAATTTTTTTTCAACGTTTATTTATTTTTGGGACAGAGAGAGACAGAGCATGAACGGGGGAGGGGCAGAGAGAGAGGGAGACACAGAATCGGAAACAGGCTCCAGGCTCTGAGCCATCAGCCCAGAGCCCGACGCGGGGCTCGAACTCCCGGACCGCGAGATCGTGACCTGGCTGAAGTTGTACGCTTAACCGACTGCGCCACCCAGGCGCCCCAGTTTTTTTTTTTTAAGTATTCAGCATTTAATTAAATTTGGGAAAAGTTGAGCGAGACAGAAATGCTTCTTCACTATGAGATTTTTGAAAGCCTTTATAAGTTAATGAATATTATCTCTACAAAAGGTTATGTGGTATGTGGCCTTTCCAAAAGCCATGCCCCCCACCCCACAGCCCCCACACCAGTCTGTACAGTGTTCCTTAGGAGAGAGATGAACATAATTTAAAGCACAGCAAAGTTCTGAGAATGCTGCTCAGCAATTTTCAACTGTGCTAAGTATACCTTTAAAGACTATGCACAGTGTAATCTTTCTGATTTTGAACAATTAAGTAAATGGGCATAAAATAAAAATGATCCATTAACAAATGTTTTTTGAAGGTCTACTATCAAACAACCAGCACCTGCTTATGCACTGGCTGGCTGCAATGAAAGCTAGAGAAATAGGAGAAACTAGTTCTTGCTCAAGGGGCTGTCTACTGGGGAAGAAAACCTTGAACAAAAAACTGTGAGAATGCTTCCGGGAGTCCAGAACAGGAAAACCTTCAGGACAGGGGCACAAGCATGAGAAGGCATGCTCAGGTGTGGTAAGAGCAGTGATCCTGCTGTGTCAAAAAGGGTCAGAAAGAGCCTCTCCATCAGGGACAGAAGAGGCCAAATTTGAAAAAGGGCAGAACTACATTCACTGACAAAATAATCTTATGAGAGGCCTTAAAGATCATGTTAAAAAAGTCAGAACTTCTTTTCTTTCAACATTCATTTTAAAATTTGTTTTGAAACTTTATGCCTGAGCAGCTCTTCAATGCTGAATAAATTTTTACATTATTTATCATTTATATTTAAACTGTTTTTATTCTAGGGGCGCCTGGGTAGCTTAGTCGGTTAAGTGTCCGACTTCAGCTCAGGTCACGATCCCTCGGTTCGTGGGTTCGAGCCCTGAATCGGGCTCTGTGCTGACAGCTCAGAGCCTGGAGCCTTCTTCAGATTCTGTGTTTCCCTCTCTCTCTGCCCCTCCCCTGCTTATGCTCTGTTTGTATTTGTCTGTCTGTCTGTCTCTCTCTCTCTCTCTCTCTCTGCTCTGTTTGTCTTTGTCTGTCTGTCTGTCTGTCTGTCTGTCTGTCTCTCTCTCTCTCTCTCCTTTCTCTCTCAAAAATAAATAAACATAAAAAAAATTAAATTGTTTTTATTCTACCCATTTTAGGCATACGATTGAGGTATCTCATGGTCCTGTCTAGATGGAAAGTTACAATACCGGGTACTGCTGCTATTTTAAATAAACTGCATGTTTTTAACATAACATAGTCCCCCATGATTCACTATCATGCACTATTAACAAAATGTGTGGTATTTCACAAAAGCAGGCTCCGGTCATGTGCAGACACAAAAAAAACCCCACAAACCAAAAGACATTTTATAGAGACATCAACTTGTCCCACCTTCATTAAGTCAAGTAAGACGCTATTTAAAATTCCAAGGTATCTTCTCTCCAATGTCTGAGGATGGTTAACAGCTGGAAACTGTAAGAATGACACAAGAGGAGAGTTAGCACAGGGAAGGGAAGGTGTGTGCATGTGCTGCGAGCACCGGCAAAGGCAGCAAAAGAACAGGAGTTTCTGCCCTAGTGCCAAAGTCAAGTTTATTTTATCTATTAGTTTTGTGTCTATGTATTTGAGGTATGGGTTAATAGGACCAGGTGCTAAATAATGGGAAAAATCGCAGGTGAAAGACGGTATTAAATCTAGTCAATGAAGCATGTAAAATAAACCTAACTATAAAATTTTGAGACTGTATTTATACAGTTTATACAGTACTGTCTGTTTATACAATTTAGTTACAATATAGTTTATACAGAATTTGCTTACATAGACAATTCTTAAGTCTTTTTTACAACATCATTTACTCCTGAAAATTAGAGAAGTTAAAAAAAAAAAAAGAAAAAGAAAAAGAGGAAAAGGCAGAGAGGCCAGGGCCTGAAAGGCCACAGAAATAAAAATAGTGAATTTGGACCCACGTTCTATCATTGCTTTTAAAATACTCTTTTAGGGGCGCCTGGGTGGCGCAGTCGGTTAAGCGTCCGACTTCAGCCAGGTCACGATCTCGCGGTCCGTGAGTTCGAGCCCCGCGTCAGGCTCTGGGCTGATGGCTCAGAGCCTGGAGCCTGTTTCCGATTCTGTGTCTCCCTCTCTCTCTGCCCCTCCCCCGTTCATGCTCTGTCTCTCTCTGTCCCAAAAATAAAATAAAAAACGTTGAAAAAAAAAAAAAATTTAAAATACTCTTTTAATGACCTGTTTTCAATTCCTTCCTTTATATAAGTTGGAACAGAAAGCAAAGAGGCTCCTAGGTTAACAAATGAATTTTTAAATAAAATGAGGGAAGAAGTCACATTTATTTAGGTGCTCTGTCCTCTCTGCCACCTCACATTCTGCAATATCCGACTGGATGAGAAAGTATTAGAGCCCAATACCATGTACTCTCTTGCAATGGGAAGGCTACTTTGCTTTCAATACATATTTCCTTTATACCAACATAAGAACATTTCAAAGTACTGGAATCTGTAAACATGTTAAAATAAGTGGATGGGAGGACTAGTTATGGAGGAAAACTCAAACAAGGCACTTAAGTAGTGATTATGACATTATCTGCATACTGTGCTAGGTATGGCAGGAGATACAGCATATGGGTCAGACCTAAACCTCGCACTTAAGCAACCCACAGTCTGGCTGGAACAGCACTCAGCACTGAAGTGTGCAGCCAAAAATTCTATTTGAAGCTCAGAGAAAGGAGAGACCAAGGTGGTTTGCAGCTGGAGGAAAAAATGAATCCACAGATAATATTTGAAGTAATTTTTGAAAGATAAGAAAAATGGGAGGACAGAGAAAAGTAGGACAGCACCCCAGATAGAGGAAGTGGAAGGAATAACATGAACTTAACACAGACACACAGGCAATAACCTATAAGTGATTACGGAGGGAAGTGATGCTATACAAGGCATTTTAGCAATTCTTATTTTAGAGATGAAGAAGGTGACACTCACAAAGTTCAAAAAACTGGTTCAAGGCAAGTTACATAATTAAAAAGCAGAACTAATATTTGCACCCAGGGCTGCAATCCAAACCCACACTCTTTCTGAACCTAGGCACCTCTCTCAAGAGAGGTACAGAGGTTCTTGTGGATGTTGTTGGAACATTGAATATCAGCCCAAAGAGAGACACACCTGTCACACTGTGATAAACAACTAGGTACTGCTACATTTTAGTTAATATTTTGCTTATGAGGTCTATCTTATGCTACCAGATATCCCTTTTTTTCTCCAGAAGTAACATTTCACTGGTAAGAAAATTATTGCAGAGTCAAAAGGTATCAAAAATATTATGATAAAAAAAATGACCAAACTCCTAAGTTTAAAAAATTACTTTATGTGCTTTTGAATGAAATCTATTCTCATGTGATAATTCCATAAATAACCAAAACCCAACCATAGAAGTTTAAATTATATCCCAATGAGTAGCCAGTCTCCCTCCCTCCCTCCCTTCCTTCCTATTTGAGTACCTCTTTCCTGACCACTTACTATGTACCAGGCACTGGTATGCACATTTTACATATAACATTTCATCTTCACAACAGTTCCATCGGATAGTACTTCTTTTATCAGCATTTTATACATGAAGAACACAGGCACAAGAAACTTGCCGAAGTCATTCATGTAGTAAATATGGAGTCGGGCTTTGATCCCCAGCAGTCTAACTCCAAGAGTCTATGCCCTAGACTATGGGACATCAATTGCTAACTTTTTCAAAATAAAGCATACCATTAGAGCAATATCTTGCCGGCTTTCCCGTCTCTACACAACTGAATCAAAATGCCAGTAACAGCAGACTGGTCGCTGGTGAGTTTGTTTCAAGGAAGTGACAGGTCACACGCCCTACATGCTTAGCTATCTGTCACAGATATTCTCCAACAAAATGACATTTCCCTCAAATTGCTAAACCTCCAAAAAGATTAAGCTAATTTAGCTAAAACACCACAAACACTTTCAGACTAAATTGTAAAAATATTAAGGTTTATTTAAAAATGTCACGGAAGCAGCAATTTCTCTGAAGGTTATTTATAAGCAGTGTTGTCATGTGCCATCTAGCATTTTACAGATACTTTATAGTGAGGAGGTCTGTGAACAAAAAGGACCACACACAAATGAGGAAAAGATATCCTTCGTTTGGCCTATCTAATCCAAATGCTCTTCATTCTTCAGTATCCATTACAAATTTCAAATCTTCCATACATCTTTCTCTAGTGAATCCAGACAACTATGATTTCTAACTTGCCAGAATGTTTAATACTCTCATGGTCTCAACTATCTTGAGAGATGTATCAGGAAACAGTACAATGCAGTAAGAATGAGGTACTTTATTATATACCATGCTTTATTATAAGTTATGCTGCTTTCCGATTATTTCATGCACAAACATCTTAATTCTTCAGCTAGTCTGTAAGTTATTAAGGCCAGGTACCATGACACATCTGTTTACACGCTCTTTGGAAAATCCAGCAAGGAGCCTCTTTAACCAGGCAAAGACCAGGCAGCCAGCAGGCCAAGCTTGATGTTCCAGAAGTTAATGTTAAAATCCCGAGGTCAAATATTCAATCATTCAATACCATTCAACCTTGCAGGCACTATGGTAGATGTGTGGTGAATATGATGGTGGATGGGAGAGTTCGTTTCCTTGAGGAGTTCATCAGGTCAGTGAAGATACATTTTTTTTTTTGAAAACAGCTATTTAAAAGCAACTGCAACAAATGCTACAAAGGTGACACGACCACAGTGCTACCGCAGTACAGAATGGGGAGTCACCCACTCCCTGGGGGAGTCTAGAAAGGCTTCCCGTAGGGAGAACACTTGACCTCAGTCTCGGGGAGGGAGGAGGAAGAGCTGTGTAGGAAGTAGAGCAAGTACTGGGAGCATCACAGAAATAAAAATACAGCACTGTAGAAGCAACACATCAAGGAATTGGTGAGAAGTTCAATATGGCTGACAAGTAGGGAGCAGTGGTGGAAATGAGTTGGAGACAAGGCTGGAGGGCTAAGAGCAAGGGGTTCTTAATGCTACCCTAAGGAGTTTAAATGAAAGCAATCCTGTAGAGGCTTCTTAACACCAAGGAGAGAGAACTGAATGTGTAGCTTGAGGGAAGATTCTTCCAAAGGCAACGTAAAAAGACTGAAGGGAAGACGGAAAGCCGGAGAGACGCATTTAGGAATGGTTGTCAACAGTGCAGGTAACAGATGCTAAGGGCAAAAGAAGCATTAGAGATGGAGAGAAGGGAAATACAGTTGAGCTTGAGATGTGATGACACAAACTGGCTCAATCGATTGATCAAATATTCACTCAGTCCCTAACAAGATGTGCTGGGCTCTGCTATAGGTGCTGGAAATATGGGGATAAAATAGGTAATTTCTGCCACTGGGGAGCTTATACTCCAGTAGTTGAGAACTAGCCAGATAATAATTAACAAGTAAACAACACGAGTACATCCTAGGAAGATAAGTGCTAGGAGGGAAAACAGCAGGATTGTGTGCTATGGGAGACACTAGGAAGAGGGAGGGGCAGTACGTTGGGGGCATGAGAGAAGGGGCACTCTTGGAGCTGAGATTTACAAAGTGAGAAGGGGCCACACAACAGAAGCACCTTCCCAGATGGAGCCACAAATCCCAAATTCACGAAGCTGGAAAAATCTTAAAATGTTTACAGAAGTCAAAGAGAAAGAAAGACAAGCATGGTAAGAATTTGAAGAGAGAGGAGAACTGAGAAAGGTATGAGCTGAGGTCAGGGATCTAGAAGGGCACGGATCAAGCAAGGGAGATGGACTATAGGAAGGAGTTGGGATGTATCCTCAATAAAACAGCAATTTGTGAATTATGACTTTTTTTCTGAATAGATTTCACTTTCTACTGGACTGAGGATAAGTCTTATTTATTATTTCCAGCATCTAGTATAACGAATGTTCAATAACTGTTGAAGTATTTGCATCCTCAATTAACGGTTATAATTTGGCTAATTTTCACCTCACAAAAGCAAAAATAAAAGGAGAAAAGAGAAAATTGCCTCAGAGAACTCAGACATATGAGAGACAGAGAGAGAAGAGAAAGCAGAAAGGAGATGAGGAAGTGTATATGCTCTGTTCATTCATTTCTTCCACAATGAGCCTCACAGGAGCGGGTACGATGTCGGGCGCTCGTGTGCGAGGAGGGGTGCTCTTCAAAGTGAAACGAACCAAGGTCCAGAAAGTCAAAGGACAAAAGGAAGCGCTGTGCAAATATCAAGGAAACATGGTTTGAGAATCATGCATTTGAGAGAAAGAAAGGAAGTGGTGGCAAGCTTATTTTATAGCTGTCACAATGGTCACCAACTGGCATGTCAGCCCTGAATAGCTGAAAACTTACAAAGGAGCTTTTGGGGTGGATAGAAGAGAGAAGCAGCCTCTAACACACTACTCTAATAAGGTGCCTCTGCAAGTTGGCGGTCTCTCATCTGGAGAAAGTTTATACTTGAAGACCCTTTTTAGCATATTCCCCACAAACAAGCTTTGTAAAAAGTTAGCAAGTCTAGAAAAGGCTGCCCAAGACAATAGACTAGTTTGAAAAGAAGATGTGATGTTTCACTGTCAACAGACAGACAAGAAATACTTGCTAGAACACAACCTTCAAATCTGTGCAATGCAGGTACTCATAGTCTTCCTCAAATCATTACAAATTTGTTTGCGTAAATAAGAATCATTTATACATTTGTATATCTTTGGGGGATGCTTAATATTGTAGACAAACATTCTGAGATAACCAAAGTTTAGAATATAATAATGCATATGCTAGAAGAGGTTTTAAAAATTTGGAGCTTATAAATTAGGAAAAACATTAGCAACTTCCACTTTCAGACTACTTTAAAAAATTCACAAATATTATATAAGTTTCAAAAATATTATAATGGGGATTATAAACATTGTAATGGGAAAGGGAATAGTATTCAGTGGATGGCTTAGCATTCCATTGTGTAATGAACAATGATTTAAATACTGCTATATTGACTCCATCTGGAGTTTTAGTAAAGCCTCTTACCCGGAGCCCATGGAATCGAGGATTACTGTAGAAGAGCTTCATCTGCTCAGATGGAAGTGGTCCTAGCACCTTCTGAATAGTAAAAAGTTGGTCGATTTCACTTTCTCCAGGAAATAAAGGCTGTCCATCACTGAGCTCCCCAAGAATACAGCCCACTGACCACATATCTACGGACTTTCCATAAGGAGCTCTGAAAAGCAATTGGAGAGATTATTTTGGAAAATGAAGAAATATGTTTTAATAATTTCCAAATTATTATGAAAAGATTCATGACTTAAAGCACATTTGTGTCTTTTAAGGAATTAAAAGTGAGGCTGACAAAAGGACTTATGGATATCCAAGTAAAGACTCACAGCACAAGTAAATAAATCTATGCTAATAAAACCATCAGTTTAATAACAATTTAGTTAGTATACACGAAGTTGAAATCTATTCACATCTGGGCATATTTTGAACATGAATGGCTTAATAAACCCTAATACAGTGCACATGTCTGATGAGTTAATACTTCACTTGGAAAATGAAATGCTCCCAAGAAATGTATTTAATAGGTAATTATCCTGTAGCTCTCGAAATGTTACAAAGTTAACACCTCATCCATCTTTTGAGTTCAGTCTATTAAAATGTACTACTGACTTACAGGTCTTCTTGAACAACAAACACAGAATAACCTCTGATTGCACAAAGTCACGATTTCAAATACCTAAGAGTGTGCTATGCTCTACTGTATTATTTATCTGAAACTATTTGTACCCTATGTATAGGGGGCTTTATGTGATAACTGTTTGTCTCAAAGCATTTTTGCCCCCATTTCCTTAGGGGTTTACACCTCTCCTCTAGGATCTGAGTTTATCAAAGGGTTTTAGGAGTGTTACTGTTATTAATAAACGGAGGCTATCCGTGAAAATCTAACTTTTCCAAAACAATTTTACATGTATCTATAGCCAATATCTACAGCCTTAAATCAAATTCTATGTGGCAAATTAAGAAACCATATTTTCTTTAGTTTCAAACAAATAATCCAAGTTTTAAGAAGGCAAAGCCAAAATAAAGGATCTGAAAAAAATATGGATAACATTCTAGAATGCTATAATGATACGGCAGTAATACAAAACTTTTAACAAATACTCTAAATGAAAGCAATGTTAACCCCACACAGACTATGTTGCTAGGACAATAAATCATTATAACTGTAAGTTGGTATTTTATTTATCTCATGTCCTTCCCACAAAAACCTAAGGACCATATTAGGAAACTTCACCTAGATTTTTTGGGTAGCTTGTGGGGGAGGGAAGGATACTGACCTTTCTTTAAAAGTGCTAGATGAAGAAACCTATGGACAATCTCTACATACCCAAATTGTGCTGTTTTTCTTCTGTCAACGAATTTGAGTAATTTATGCAGCTGGAACTATTTTGAATGTCAAGGACAAAGTTTGAGGAGGTACAAAAATATAAATTCTTAATGTTACCCAAAAATCAACTGATTTCAATGGGACTTTGACACAAATAATATGGTTCTTCAACTAGTACCTGACAATCATTTAATTAGCAATATATAATTTGGCTCAAATTAGTTGGGAGTCCCCATCTACTTTTGGTAACTCCCACACATCTCTAAACATAACTGCAGTTTTCTGACAGGTATTATTAGGCAACAAATACTCTCTGAAGGTCTGCCCTAAGGCTGTCCTCAGAATGAACTCCTTGGGGCCATCTTATAGACAAAATTATATTACAAAAAGTCCTCTAGCATACTTGAATCCTCAGATGGTGTTCTAAGAACAATCTACTTCATACTCATTTCTTTGGCAAATCTGTCCAGTAAATTCAAATTTCAATCCCTCCCAAAAGAAAATGGACTATGCATCCCAATGAGTCCAGACAGAGGTACACAGAAAAAGGAACAAAGACAAACATAAAAGAAAATCACTCCTAAAACCAAGTTTAAAAATTAGCACAGAAATCCTAAGGGTGCCTGAGTGGTTCAGTTGATTAAGTGTCCGACTCTTGATTTTGGCTTAGGTCATGATCTCATGGTTCATGAGATCAAGCCCCACATTGGGCTCCACGCTCAGCGAAGAGCCTGTTTAAGATTCTCTTTTCCTCTCCTTCTGCTTCTGCCCCTCTCTTGCTCTCTCTCTCTCTCTCTCTCTCTCTCCAAAAAAATAAATAAAAGATATTCTAAAATCTACCCACACAAAGAGAGATAATAAAGTGACTAACCATCATTTGTTTCCCAGGATAAAGCAAGCTTTTGATTTCAAAAAAAGAGTAAAGCTTTCCATAACTGATATCAATAATTCTTATAGGCTCTATGTCAGCAATGGATCAAGAATCACAACCAGATGGTTGATAGACAGTAGGAAATCAATTGTGAACATAAAAATAAACCTTCAGTAACTTAAACATATAGTCATCATGATCGCCAACAAAAGAAACATAGAAATTTATATTCCTACTATATAAAAAGTAACTTTTAAAAATTAAATTTCTCACGTACCCCAGATACATGTACAGCACACTAAAGAGATGAAACCTATAAATAGTGCACCAGTCACCATTACCACCATTTCTAATTCTATTTGTAGAGTGTGCCTTCTCTCTCCATTCTTGGATGGTCCCCAAGAAGGAAATACATCTAGGGAAAATAAGAAAATGCTACAACAAAGGTAAGTAGAGAATTATTAACATAACTATGTGATCGAGTTCAGGAGGATAGGCTCCTTCTGAGGCTCTCAAGTAAAAACAAACTAAAAAGAAAAGAAGAACCTTACCAGAAACCCTATCCTGGTGTTAACAGATGAATGAAAGAGCACCGAAAGTGGAAGGATGGGCACAAAGTGGGTGGATGTGGAGATATTGCTGAGAAAATCAACAGTGCAGTGTGTGTTTGAATAGCCATTTACCATCAAACAGGATTTCTCTATTCAGAAGAAAATTGGCAACTGGTTCGATATTTACATCATGTTTTTAGCAAAGTGGTTAAATATAAGAGATACTTGGTAAGTGTTTGTTGAATAAATGAACGAAGGAATGAACAAACCAACCGACAGGCAGAATGTGAAACTCCTCTTAATGTGGAAGATTATTAGCAAAGGTGGAGGCAATAATTCCCCCTATTTCTGTAACTGTGCCACTCCTCCCATGAAGACATGGAGTTTATTTCTCCATCCCTTGAATCAGGGCTTGACCATGTAATGTGTTTTGGTCAGTGAGGCAAAAGTCATGCAATCAGAGGCCTGAAAACCACTTTTACTTTGGGGCTTGCCCAAAAACAAGCAAAATTCTTGCTGCGGGGAGTTTTTCTGTTCTCACGTGAAGAAACTAGGACTAGCCCACTGGACGATGAGCCTCCATGGAACAAAGATGGTCTGTCCCAGTTGAGGCCTCCAGATGATCTGCTGAGTGACTGTAGCTACCTGAGCGACTCCCATGGAGACCGGCGAAGAACAATTCAGCTGAACTTCAATTACTGACTCTCCCAAATCATTGGCACCCAGAATTGTGAGCAAATAAAATGGTGTTTTGTTTTACACCATTAAGTTTTGGGGTGGTTTGCTACACTGCAATAGGTAACTGGTATTTAATTAAATAAAGTTCTTATCTTTCATTGATGACCCCAAGACTAATGATATAGGATCAGCAGATACATAAACGGCATTTTATTTGGGGAAGGTAACTCACCCAAGTAAGAGTTCTGGAGACCGATACCACCTGGTGGCCACATATTCTGTATAATTAGCATTATTGCCTTCTGATAGATTCCGAGCAAAACCTGAAAGATAGAAAAACCCAAAGGTGTAACTTTGAAAAAGAAAGAATTTCATATTGGCAAAGTATTTCAGTGCTAGTAATATTTTAAAGGAACATCAAAAGAACATAATAACTGGTACTGAATGGGTTGTTTATTAACGGTGACTTCGTAATTTGCGACTTCGTAATTTTCAAAGGTTAGTGTGTGCATATGTCACTTAAAATATGTAGTGTATTCACTAAAAAAAAAAAAAAAGTCTCCCCTTACACTGCAGAAGTCCATGTTTTTGAAGTTATCACATGGTTTTATAAGCATTCAGAGCCTACTTTTAAGTCAGCTCTCTCAATAAATGCAAATCTTAGAAACAAAATGAAGTCCCCACAAGAGCCCAAGTCAAAGCTAAAATACTTTGTCACAGATGGTCATCATATTCTGACATGTGGGACTTAATACAGTATTTGTATATCTACTGTTGCTGGTCAGTTCTAGCCATTATATAAGCAACTAAATAGTTGGTGATGATGGAAACTAAGCAGGCCAAAATTATTTTCATCTCCTAATGTGACTGAGAAGCATATTAGGGGTATCTAAATTACTTATACAATCTATCATTATTTTCCCTCCAAACCCTTTCAAAAGTTTTGGGGCCAAAAACTAAGCCAATAGGTAAGCTAATTAATTACCCACCTAACTCACCAAAAACATTATGGATAGTCACAGAGAACCAGAACATTAAAATAAGGGATAAAAATTAAGGTGTATATCAATTTTGAAAAGTAGAAAAATCATGTTTCTTAAAACAGAACTGTAAAAAATAAAAACCACAGCAAAAATCAAAGCCCTAACTCCAATTAATACTCCTTTGTAAGACATATTTAAAAGAAATATTCCTATTTTTGAATGGAATTCTTCAAGCCAGACAAAGGAGCTCATGTTGTGGGAAGAAAAGCAGTTCAGAAATTGTCACTGGGGATGCACAGGGCACAGAGTACCACATGCAGTGCTGCCATGTGAAACTTCCTCACCGCTAAAAATTGTCTTTCCTTTACAAAATGAGGCCAGACCAGGAATACTCTTTTCCTATTATTAACCATTCCACTGACATCTCTTTTGTAGTTATTACTTGTTTACAAATTTCAGTAATTTGGGGTTTTAAGCAGATCACCAACCCATAGAATCATGGAGGCATAGTCAAGGGTGCATGAGGCACACAAAGTGTCAGTATTTGGTGGTAGTCACAATTATGGATAGGAAGCCAGAAATAGAACCACAAATACTCCTTTTAAATAACTGTATTTCAGTATTTCTTTTTTATTCTCCTAAACACTTCTTAAGATGCTTAAAATATAGCAGGACTCTTCTTTGTAATATGCCTTACAAAGTATGAAGAAAAGTAAAGCTATCTGTGTTATATTAAAGATATTAATATTCAAATTCTTTGAAAGCACTGGGTGAAAACAGTTACACATGCTTCTAATAGCTACACGGGACAAAACTGGTCACTCACACAGTGAATTCTTAGAATGCTGCCATTTCCCATTTGTTTGATTCATCTTGGAGGTACCAATCTAACTTCTGCTTATGAAAGGACACAGTCTCATTTACATATAGAGGTTTACATTATATTTTTGGTTATATTTGAATACATGAAAAAATAACATTAAAAAAAGTCAAGTTGTTATTTTTCAGCATACGGATTAGAGAAAAGAATTTTTAAAAGTGACCTATAACTTAAACACCCTAATTTATAGTTTTATAACCTTTCTGAATTATTGTAATGTAAATTTTTAAGAGCACTTAATACATTTTTATACATATATGGAGAACAATACACAATTTTCTATTAGGAGATAGTACAACTCAAAAGCTCCCTAATACACTCAACCAGGAGCTGGAATGTTAGACATCAATTACTAATCTCATTCATTCAACATTTAAAGGGAATAAATGGAACTGTTCTAAAAATGTCTTTGACCTGTACAGGTATGTAACTACTGCGTACACATGATACACATGTATTTACATAGGCATATTTTTAGTGTTTATGATTACACCTAAGATAATTTCTATCAACATTTAAAAATATTTTTAAAATATTCTTTTATCCTACCCAATACAGAAGGCCATAGTGGTATTTCGTAGAAAATTCTTTTTCTAGAGTCATTAAGCACTGGGCTTATGAATATACACACATGCACATATTTGCTTTGCATTCTCATTAAGCAAATACTGCATTATGACTTTTTAAAAATGGTAGACAACACCATGCAAAGAGGGTATTCTCCCAACAATCAATTTTCCAATATATGACTGAAAAGAATATTCCTCTAATTTAAGTCAAAACATAAGAAATACTTTTAATAAGCCTTTAAAAAGCTACCTATGTGTTATATTAAATTAATTCTACTTATAAGTTTCCATTTCTTTTTAACTTACCAAAATCACACAGTTTCAAAACATCATTGTGGCTGATTAAGAGATTTTCTGGCTTGATATCTGAAGTATGAAGATTAAGAAACAATTGTTAAAAACTGTTCCATGTACTGCTGACTGACACTCTTGGATCACTATAACAGCAGCTAATTAGAAATATCCAGAGTAATTTGAATAGAAACCTGTGGCAGCAAAAAGCAGAGTAACACATTTTATACTGGTACATAAAAGTTTCAATTTGTTTTGGAGAAGCATGCAGACCACAATTTCAAAAATATTTTTTTGCTTTAAATCTTAAAGGTATTAATGGAATCTGTGAAAGGAATTTAAGAATCATTGAATCTAGGCCACCATGTCTCAAGGAACTATCTACTTCATAAAATACTAATGACATCAATTTTGGGAGTTTGAATATTAATTTTTTGGAGATAGAATATACATATATATATATATATTCTATATATATATTCTATATATATATTCTATATATATTCTAAAGTTCATGGGGTATCTGGGTGGCCCAGTTGGTTGAGCATCTGACTCATGATCCCAGGGATGTGGGACTGAGCCCCACGACAGGTTCGTGCTAAGCGTGGAGCCTGCTTAGGATTCTCTCTTCCCCCACCCCCCGCCCTTCTCCCCTGCTTGTGTGTTCTGTATTAAATAAATACACTTAAAAAAAAAGAGAGAAATCATTTCTCTTGTCATTTTCTATATAATTTCTATATTTATATCTCTCTTTAGCTTTTCTGTGTAGTTCACAATTATAAATGTCTAATGCTGAAGCTATACTGGATGAGTCAAGAAAAGATTTCTCATTTTTTCCATGGATGTTCTGAAGATGTGGTGGGAGCTAAGTAGAAATACACAGAAAATGCTATTTAATTCCTACCCTGGGAGACATCTCACAATTCTATTTTTTAGAGTATCAATCATTTATATCATATGGCAGAGGTGAAAAAGGAGAAAGGGAAGACGGAGGAGTAAAATCTGTAGATTTCAGAATCATGGTTTCTTTTTTGTGTTTTTTTTTTTTTTTTTTTAATTTGAGAGAAAGAGAGAGCAAGGGAGAGGGGCAGAGGGAGAAAGAATCTTAAGCAGGCTTCATGCACAGAGTGGAGCCCAACACAGGGCTCAGTCCCCAACCCTGGCATCATGACCTGAGCTAAAACCAGGAGTCAGATGCTCAACTGACTGAGCCACCCAGGCGTCCCTCAGAATCATGGTTTCTACTGCGAATTCATAACCATTGATTTACTGTATACTTAACCAAATCACAGCAATACCACAGAACTACAGCTAAATCAGTTCCTTATTAATATCCTCATATTGCAGTATACACTGTTATTAGAATCATTACCCCAGATACTAGATGTGCGGTTGGCTTGAAGACATACCTATACTACCAACAACCTTTTTTTAAAAATATAATTTATTGCCAAATTGGTTTCCATACAACACCCAGTGCTCATCCCAACAAGTGCCCTCCTCCCTGCCCATCACCACTTTCCCCTCTCCCCCATCCCCCATCTACCCTTAGTTTGTTCTCACTCCTTAAGAGTCTCTTATGGTTTGCCTCCCTCCCTCTCTGTAACCTTTTTTCCCCCCTCCTCACCCCTCCATGGTCTTCTGTTAAGTTTCTCAAGATCCACATATGAGTAAAAACATATGGTATCTGTCTTTCTCTGCCTGTCTTATTTCACTTAGCATAATACCCTCCAGTTCCATCCACGTTGCTGCAAATGGCCAGATTTCATTCCTTCTCATTGCCAAGTAGTATTCCATTGTATATATAAACCACATCTTCTGTATCCATTTGTCACACCAACAACCTTGGTATGGTAACTGGTATGAAAGTCAAATCCAAGAGAAATATAAACTTTTTCTAGATATAATTAATAGAAGTTGGCATTCTTCACATGACCTTTAAGCTATTCTTAAAGTGACACTATTTTTAAAGGGATATCCTTGTATGTCTGTACAGGTAAATTAAAAGGTAGTATTCATTTATTTGATAATTCAGAGACAAGAAGGAGATACTGTAACATTTTCCGATAAACATCTTTTAGCTTCATTATTTTATCAATATGTGTCCCATTACTGTAAAACTCTAGAATTCAAGCAAGATTATCAGCAGAAGATAAATGGTGTAGAGTCAAAGACAGTGCTGAACAAGTAATTTCCCTTTTATTACTATAAATCACTCACCTCACAGCAATAAAGGACAAAATAAAACAGTTTATGGAAGCATAATCATGACCTTTATGCAAGGTTGATCATGCCTACAACTTGCAATGGGCACTTTCCACTCATGGGTAGGGCAATTCAGGAGGTAAAGGTACATACCAGAGGTTGGTGGTCTAAGAGGGAATGAGAGGTGACAGTCAATGGGGGAGGTCAGTGACTTAGGGACCACCTTTAAAGCCTGATTCTGAGTGGTTTCACATTACCTGGTCTACCAACAGGACCAAAAGGCAATGGAGACTACCCCTTTGCTCGTTTCACCCCAAGTAAGCTTCAAAGTTCCCATTTGTTGAATTCTTTACATCCCAAGGCATTTCTAAAGTTGAGAATAGATCTGGTTATACAGAGATCTCACCATAATATCCAAATAAACTTGCAGTCTATCCTTTTGATAATTCAAAAGGAGACTTGGAAGGTAAACGATGTTCTCATATCCTGTACATTCGAAATGTATTTAATTCAAAGGGAACATCAGCACCCATGGAAATATTCTTAAGAGAGTAACATGTAAAATATTTCATTACATTCGATGTTTTCTTAATTGTCCATTTCAAAACTTTCATACTTACCTCTATGTACAATATCGTTCTTATGGCACCAGTGAATAGCTTTGATTAGCTGATAGATATAACTTTTAACTTTTTCAGGTGGAACTCCATTTGGCATTTCTTCCAGCAGTTCAAGCATATTCTAAAAATTAAATAGGGAGCCATTAATCTCCACAAATTAGGCAGGCCATAAATCATGTAGTAACAATTTAAAAAAGCATCTTGGGGCGCCTGTGTGGCTCGGTCGGTTGGGCGTCCGACTTCGGCTCAGGTCATGATCTCACAGTTCGTGAGTTCAAGCCCTGCATTGGGCTCTGTGCTGACAGCTCAGAGCCTGAAGCCTGTTTCAGATTCTGTGTCTCCCTCTCTCTTTGCCCCTCCCCCCCATCTCTCTCTCTCTCTCTCAGAATAATTTTTTTTTTTTAAAAGCATCTTGGATGATAATTCATCCAATACACAGCATGCATTTTAAAAAGCTGTTTGTTTTCCATCTACAACTTTTTTCATGAAAAAGCCGGATACTCTATTAAATCAAGGCTCTCTTTTAAGAGAAATTCCATTTTTACTATTCCTCAGTGCTGCCCCAAATAATAACCCTGGTACTTTCCACTCTCCCTAAAAATGTTTAAGGCATCATTTTAGAATATTTTCAAGGGAAAAGCAATACAAAGTAGAGAGAAGATGCTGTGATGTATAAAGGAGGGGGTAAACAAGCATTTTTAACACAGTGCACTGTGCATGTTTAATAGCACCTTGCAATAAAATCAAGCCTTGAAAATATTTCTGGAGGACCTGGAAAATATTCTTAAAAGAAAATGATCCTTAATTTTAGAAGTGATCCATGCAATCGGTACAAAAATTAAGATAGGCTAGAAAATGCTGTTGAAATAAACACAGACTCCCAACAAATCAATTTTTGAAACTCTTAGCCTGGAGTCAGAGATCATTCTAAAACTCACACAAAATTTTTTTACTAAGGAGAAACCCCACTTAACCAGTTTCACTGAATTTCCAGATTAACCACACATTTTCCATTCCCTCTGTAAAGCACCACATTAAGGCCCATAGCATTAGAGTTTATTGTTTGTAGACGACCATCTAGAAAAGCAGTTCTCAAAGTATGATCTGTGTGTGCCTTAGGGGTGGTTACCAGATCTTACAGAAGGCCCATGAAGTCAAAACTACATTCATAGTAACACTCAGCTTTTTGGCACTTTTACTATGTTTGCATTTACACTGATGACTCGAAGCAAGGATGGGTAAGCTGGTGGCACCCTAGCATAAATCAAGGCATTGGATTCCTCAATGCCACACTCTTACAGTTAAAAAGGAAGACAAAAAACCAGTTTTTTGGTTTTTGTTTTTCAACGTTTATTTATTTTTGGGACAGAGAGAGACAGAGCATGAACAGGGGAGGGGCAGAGAGAGAGGGAGACACAGAATCGGAAACAGGCTCCAGGCTCTGAGCCATCAGCCCAGAGCCTGACGCGGGGCTCGAACTCACGGACCGCGAGATCGTGACCTGGCTGAAGTCGGACGCTTAACCGACTGCGCCACCTAGGCGCCCCAAAAAACCAGTTTTAGTTAAGGATGTCTTTCTTGGGGCGCCTGGGTGGCTCAGTTGGTTAAGCATTTGACTCGATTTTGGCTCAGGTCATGATCTCACAGTTTGTGAGATCGAGGCCCCCCACTCCCTGGGTTGGGTTCTGTGCTGTCAGTGTGGAGCCTGCTTGGGATTCTGTCTCCCCCTCTCTTTGCTCCTCCCTGATATGGGCGCATGTTCTCTCTTCTCTCTCAAAAAAGGATGTCCTTCTTTGATTAAGCAGTAAAAATTATTACTTGTACTAAATTTCAACTCGAGTACATGTCTTTTTAGGAATCTACATGATAAAATGGGGAATACACATAAAGCACTTCTACTGCATAACAAAGCATGATGGTTATCTTAAAGAAAATCACTTGGGTGATTGAGTTGAAAGCTGAACTAGCTGTTTATTTTTGATAGAATACCATTTTTTATTTGAAGGTATGACACACAAATGTAGTTATGTTAACATGTGATGGGATTCTTATTGTTATTTTTAAATGAATTAACTTTATATTGTTCAGTTCTGACTTGTAATATGATAAATATTAATAGATAAAGCCCAAATAAATAATAAGCTTTTAGGGTTTCTAAAAATGTTAACAGTGTAGGAGTCCTAAGGACCAAAAAGTTAGAAAACCTCATACTTGCTCTAATACAACCTCACAATTTTGTTCCCACCAGTCAAGCTGCATATAATCGGTTATTCATAACACTCCCATACCTATTTGTAACAGATGCACTTCTTTTAATACAATTAAATATCATATAAACCAATGAAATAATGTTTTAAATAAAGAGATTTGCTGTTTATAAGAAAGCAAAATTTAATACTTTGGAAAGACTGAATGAAGGACAGCCACTAAACATACTGCTGTCTAATGGTATGTGAGTGCAGCAACTAAAAAATGCTGGCAAGGGACAGGTGATGATGGTGATAAGGATTCTGCACTGAGATTACTTTTTAATGTTTTTAAGCTTCAGTTTGGGTTTACAGAAGCTCTCACAGGCTATCATAGTTGATGCATTATGGGTATGATGTATCTAAGAAAGACTCATCAGAACTCCAATCAGAAGATCAATGCTCCAAAGGCCCTGACCCTACCCCTAAGGAGTAGGAAATGAATATATACTGATATATTTTAAGTTAAAATGTTTCAAGTATGTATGATTTTTTAATGATTCTCCACTCGAGTTGCCTTTTTCAATTAACAAATGCATAGGAGCTCCTAAATGCACATGAAGAATAAGAGGGCTTTGCAATACAGAAAATAAATCGTATGTCTCATTTCATATCATGTTCTAAATCTGTCAGTGGCAGATAGGAATGCCCCTCGATAGCCATTCTTCCCTTTAGTCCACAGTAATACAATTTGTAAGTCGATACATAGGTGCTCAGAATGAAGAGTACATTTCCCCTCTGCCTTGCAGCTTGAGACGCCATGAAAGTAAGTCCTGGCCAAGGGGATGTGATAGCTGGAGTGTGATCTTGACCTTGAAGACAAGGGCCACATCTCAAGGGTGGCAGAATGGAAAGGCAGAAGCAACCTAGGCCTCACACAGCTGTGGAGCAGTTACCGTACCAGCCCTGTACTGCCTACCTTTGTATTTGTATGTGAGGAAGAAAGAAACTTCTATTTTGTTTAAACCACTGTAATCCTGTATGTCTGTAACAACCCCACTACCCCTTAAGAGCATCATTTTCTTGCCCTCTTGAGACTCTTTGTTAATCTCGTTAGGCACTGTTGCTGATGGGAGGTCACCTTCCACGGAAAAACCACAGGGTCAGGCCAAGAAGCCCAGGTCTGGGGGACACAAGACAGAAGGTCTGGTAGCAGCTCTGCCACTTATTGGCAGAGAGATCTCAGACACGACAAAACGTCTGGTACACAGAGGTGATTTCCCCATGTGTTCATAGCAAATTGTTATTAATCATGAACCATCACCATGAACAGAACAGAAATAAATAAGACAAACCGAAACAGATCTGTCAGTAATTGCATTACTGGCAGTGAAAATGGTAAACTGCATGATTATTCTTGCAACTAAAAAATAATATAAAGAGCATCCGATTTTTACAGGAATCCTTTTTTTATAACTTTTTATAAATATCAAATTTCAGTTTAATTTTGGTAGGGAAGGTCCTTTAGGAATATACCTAAACTGACAAAGAAAAAGAAACCTTTAAGCAGATTTTGGAAAAGAAACACAAAACAGTGTTTTATTTTTATTTTAAGTTTCTTTCTTTGTTTTTGAGAGAAGGAGAGCAAGCAGGGGAGAGGCAGAGAGAGAGAATCCCAAGCAGGCTCCGAGTTGTCAGCACAAGAACCTGATGCAGGACTCGAACCCACAAACTGTGAGATCATGACCTGAGCTGAAACCAAGAGCTAGACGCTTAACCAACTGAGCCACCCAGGCATCCCCATGAAACAGTGTTTTAAAATGACAAAGAAACTTGTAATACGTTTCAAGTTTTGCTTGAATTGAAATTCCTATGTATATTTATTTTCATTAGAAAAATAATTTGTAGGGGCACCTGGGTGGCTCAGTCGGTTAAGCATCTGCCTTTGGCTCAGGTCATGATCTCACAGTTCATGGGTTTAAGCCCCGCATCAGGCCCTCTGCTGTCTGCGCAGAGCCCACTTTGGATCCTCTGTCCCCCGCCCCCACCCCCCACCCCCCCCCCACACTCTCCGGCCCTCCCCGCTCATGCATTCTGTCTCGAAAATAAGTAAATAAAAAAATTATTAAAAAGAAAAAAAAAGAAAAAGAATTTGTAAAGGCTGAATTAATTCAAAAGCTACACTCCTGGGTCATCTTGGCAACACTGCTTTCTATTTTGTGATGATGATGGTGGTGGTGACACTATCATTTATGACATAGAAGGCATCTGACAAACATAACCCTCCCCAGCCTTCATGTTCATTAGAAAGCCTCATTTTATCATGTACAAATTCCTGATTTTATCATGCAGATTCCTACAAAGACATGTACTCAAGAAGTGAAATATAATAAAAGTAGTAATTTTTAGTGTTGTTTAGCTATTAACAGGAAATCAGGAACCACATATTTATTCATCAAGGAAACCTCTAAAAGGTCCATCTGGCACCAGTTTATTCTACTCCTGTAAAGGTACTTATTTAAGTTTGGGACAATAACCAACCACTGTAGGGCAGCTACCCTCAAAGAAATTCAAAGGCCCACCTATTGATTACTGCAGCATACATTAGCCCCTAGGCCACACATCATTAAAACTGTCACTAATCATTACCAATTAAAAAAAAAAAAATACCGAGGCAAGTATACAGATAATTTGAACCGTGTGTGCTTTTCTTCTTTTCTCCCATGCTTCCAATTCATTATCTGTGGCCTCATCTACCTCCTCAAGCCTCACCTTATGCCTCCTGGCACATCTTCTTCCCTCAAAGCCAAAGCACTGACATTTCATAAAAGGTTGCTCCATGAGCCCACTCATTCACCACCTTAGGTCTGATTTAGGCAGCCACCCTAAGCTCCCAGGCTGCCTCACACACACCTCTGTCATCTTATGCCATCACTGTCAACTTACTTGTCTCTCCCTCAGAGGCCTTGCCTCGGTTTAATTTAAATAAAGTACATCTAAAAATTACCTGTTGAACACAGATTCTAAGATTTTAGAAGCCAAATCAATACACTGTTGAAATTTAAGATGATCTTTGTACAGTTAAATTGCGCAAAACCCTTCAATATATTTCAGGGCTTCTAATGATTACGGATAAAAAATTCATTTTTAAAGTACTGAGATTATGAGTACATTGACAAATCATACTAGACAATAATACTTCCTTGAACAGTGTCAGAAATGACCCTACATAAAAGAATCAGGCAAATTCCATACTATCAATTAGTGACTTACTTTTTCAACATATTCAAACACCAAGTACAATTTCCCCCTCCGACGAAAGGCTTCCTTCAGCTCCACGATGTTTTCCTGCTTGAGAGTACGCAGCATTTTAAGCTCTCGTAAAGTCGTTTCCTTGACTTCTTCATTTTCTAGAATGTAAACAATGGTGAAGAGTAAAATTAAAGCTTTCAAACCACTGTTGAAAAAATTCTAAAAACAATGAAAACATATCAATTTTACTTTCCACTTTGAGTACTTTCTGCATAAGAAGTTCAAGGATGGAAGAATAAATATCACATTTTCTTGTTGAAAGGATCAAGAATTAGCCACTTAAAGAAGAAAAGGCTTACTTGACCAGCATGAACCTAATTTTCCCCTTATGTTTTCTTGTACTCCGTATTGCAGAGGGTATGTGTAAACACAGACTTACAGATACAACGTTATCAATCTACTGTCATTTTAATTCTAACACTTCCTACTGACAAAGGAGGAGTTTAAAAGAGTAAAAAGGAATCAATGGTATCAGTGTGCAGAGCAGCCTCTAGGCAGCATCTGTAGCAGCTGATGTTTTTAACTCTAGCCGGAAGCTTTGGCTCAAAAGAACATTTTATTTCTCTGGCTGCATGTGAGTCACCTCAGTGAGCAGAGGTCATATGCCAGGCACCCACGATGCAGCTCATAGTCAAGTTGCAGGGAATTCTAGGAGAGTCTGATCTCTCTGAACAGCAGCTGCTATAGGTTCCTGCTGTCCTCCTGTGGCATGTCCACCTGTCCATCCCAGATGGTGTAGCTGTACTGGGACGGAGAACTTATGCTGAACCAATATAGCCTTCCATATGATCAACTTCACTCACGATAACCCCCACAGGCATGGAGGAAGGACAGAAGTCACATTAACTCTAATGGATGAATTGGCAGGGGAGTAAGGAAGGTAATACTTTTCTTTTTTAGTGAGTTTTTATGATACCTTTAGGTGTAGCCTGGAAATGCTAACTACCATGTTTACATATATACATATATGAATGTGTACACACACACACACACAAGAATACAGGTTCATAATTCTTTTATCTGCAATTTCAAAAATCCATCTAAAAACTGAACACTTTCTCCAAGTGTATGGCAAATCTCTTTAGAGGTAAAATCTAAACTGACATGAGACCACCTAGTCTTTGTTTATCCCACTTAGTAAGAACATTCAGGTGCTTGCTTCAGAAATAGTGTCTTACTGGGGCGCCTGGGTGGCTCAGTCAGTTAAGGGTCCAACTTCGGCTCAGGTCATGATTTCATGGTTCGTGAGTTCAAGCCCCACGTCAGGCTCTGTGCTGACATCTCAGAGCCTGGAGCCTGCTTCAGATTGTGTCTCCCTCTCTCTCTGCCCCTCCCCCCACTAATATTCTGTCTCTCTCTCAAAAAAATGAATAAACACTAATAATAAAAGAAACAGCATCTTATTACAGGGTGCTAAAGTAGCATGCCATATTTCCATTCCAAAACCCGGAAGTTGTGAATTCTAAAACACATTTGTCTCCAACATTTGGGGTCAGAGTCAAAATCCTAGCTTGAGAATCCAAGTTTTATGACCCTCAGGTTCAGGTATATTCAACCTCCTTCAGGTTCAGGGAAGAAGAAAATGAGAGTTTGGGGATGAGGATGAGAAAGCTTAAAATGCCGTCTAAGAAGAAATGCCTCCTAAAGCAAGGTACACAAGAGGAAAAAGGCTGATGGGGCTAAATGGGGAGAGAAGATTCTAAATTAGGTGCCAGGAGTACTTCTCAGATTATTTTCTATCCCAGCCTATCTCCCATCCCCCATTCAAACGGAGTTTAAAGAATCAAGAGACTGTAATAAACGCAAGGGCTTTGTAGCACGAGAGTATCTGTAATAAACAGGGAACAGAAAGTCAACACTCCTTTGTGAACTGGTTACACAAGTGAAATATTCTCCCTACTTCACACACACACACACACACACACACACACACACACACACAACACAACTGTTGGGGAGCCCTGGAGCACAGATTAGGAAAGGACATAGAAAGATACTATCAGAAAGCAAGAAGTAGCAGTAGGATAGGTTGACAGTGGCATAAGCAGTGAGCCAGCCCAGCCAACATCAGGAGGGGGGGTGACTGGGAACTAGGGACTCACAGGGCCCCCATGAGGGGAAAAGAGTATGACACCATGGGGGTCACCTGGCAGTAGGGGGAATGTGATCAGGGGACCTCCCAAAGTGGCTTACAGGAATGTGGTGGGACAGAGGTCCAGCTGTTCTGCAAAATGGGGCTGAGCCAGATAAGTGGTATTTGGTGACTTTTAGAATTACTAAAACACTAACAGCCTTTAATCTTATGAGGAAGGCTACCCCATCTGGGTTACTTTTGAGACTGAGATAATCAAACCAAAGTTCACCTATCTCTAAGACACAGAATGCCACAAAGGTCTCGATACAAAGCAAATGATCTTCTAACAAGGAGATAATCCAATACAAATATAGTGATTACTCACAACCTGGTTCCTGTCTGCTTTTCCATTCCCCATTTCATATCCTTCCCACCCCACATTAGTCTTTCAGTTCTCCAAATAGCCCCAACTTAGTTTTTTCAACCTTAGGGCCTTTTAACTTGTTCCCTCTGCTTGGAACTCTCATTCTACAACCCAGACTCCTTACAGGGCTGGCTCTTCTTCAGGATTCAGTTTGAACAGCACTCCTCAGAAGCTTCACCCAGATCACTAAACCAAAGCAGGCTTCCACCCCTATTATTCCTTACCACACTGAACCTATTCTTTTGCAGACCAAGAGCTGCTATTCTTTCTGTTAGACCAAGAGCTCTAGGAGGAGAGGCCTAAGTTCTGCTGTTCAACAATACACACTCAACCACCTAGGACTGCACCCGGCACAAAGAAGGGATCAATAAATACTTCTGACACAAACACGTCCACTGATGTCATGAGGAAATCTTCACTCCTATGTGGCTAGCCCTCATTCCCTTAAGACATGGGAAGCAGCGATGTGATGGCAAACAAGAGGCACTTTCCCTCTCAGTTTTGAGTACGGTACTTTCAATCTTCTCTCTAGAACGTTGAGAAGGCAGCTTTTCGGGCAGTAAGACAAACCAAATTTCTTTTTCCCTATATACCACTATGCCTGGTTGTCTTCTACAATATGTGATTATAAAAAATGGGGCTCCAGAAAACTTAAAGTACTAAAAAGGGTCATGAACACATATATATTTAACCATTCATTAATAACATCCATAAGCTATACTGGAGCTGGGTACAAAAAAAATGTTGCAACTAAGTCAAAAGTAAATACAGCTGGTGTATCTTTTCTAGTCAACTGCTTGGTGAATTCTTGGCACTCAAAAAGCAACTGAAAAAAGAGAGCTTTGAATTATTAGCAACTTGTGGCGATTTTACTTTGCTAACAGATAAAGCTACCTCAGAATGGCTGAAGTAGAATGGTTTTAGAAGAAGGAACACTGGAGTAGGATTTGGGAGACCTAGAGTTTGGATCCCGTTAAATAACCAACACTGTGACATATGATGTTGGGCAAGCCACTTAACTTTTCATTCATAAAATAACAAAATAAATGGGCACACTCCCCGTCCACACACGCCCTAAAAAATCCCATGGCTTTTTCCAAATCTAATAACCAATGATTTCTTTCCATTAAAATCTCATTGATTATGAGCCTAAACCTCACCGAATTTTGATGCTTTGTTATATAGACATCATTCAAATCTATACTGACGCTACGTAAAAATGGCTGGAGAGAAAAGAGAAATTAATCTTGAAAAAGAAGTTCACAAAACCATTTAGCATGTGGGGCCAAAACCACCTCATTTGAGCTGCCTATCTTTTTTAGGAAATGAAGGCTTTACTCTAATTTATGCCTGTCATAGATATCCAAAGTTGAGGTAAGCACTTCAGCACTAAGAATGTAATGAATGGGAACAGGCAGGAAGCAGAATTATTAATTCCCTAAGTGCAAGTAAAATGCACACTCTTCATTACTTGGTATATCCTATCATTTTTGTTTCTCTAAGTACTTTTAAGGTTCCTGGCTTACCCTGTACTTTGATGAAATTGCAGCACTAAACGATCGGATGATGAAGAAAAGGAATATACTTTCCACTTACACATGCTTCTCACCTCAGAGGTTCAGAAAGTAGCCAAGCTCTTTAGTGAGGCAATTTTTTAAAGGTGCTGGCACAGCCTACTCAAGTGAGCACAAAAATCCCTGCCTTCCAGTTGAGATAATCCTGTGGATTCTTTACATAGGCAAGGCTCCTCCAGTTTACAAATGAAGAACCCAAGTCTATAAAGAAAAGCTTCCTCAGGGTGAGGGAAAGGAATGCCACACTAAGTAGAACAAAGGGACACAGGCAACACGGTGGATGGTAGTGAGCAAGCTTTAGAGAGTCAGTCGAACACCCAGGTCCGGGTCTACACTCTGCTACTGCTTAGCTGAGTGGCAAAGCAGCATGGTATGGATGGAAGAAAAACTCAAAGATCCTGAGGCCTGCATCTTTCCCAGTTAATCACATACTGACTGTACAGCTTTGGACCTTGTGTTCCTTGGCTATAAACAGGAATTGGGCTTCTACTAGAGGATTCGAAGGTCCTCACAGCTCTAAGACCCGGTGCATCCGAGCAAGTCCTGCTTATGTGCATGCTAATGGGCTTGGTCGTCAGTTTCCACTGAGGGTGTTTACCTTAGTACAGGCAGCAAGTCTGACAATGTTACATAAATTTTTTTGACTGATGATTAAATGGCAGGGTAGAAGAAGGACGTTAAGTAAGAAAAAAACAAAGAACTAACCTGCTTTTAGCTTGCCAGTTAGGCAAGTTAACACACTAAGAATCAAGAAGGGAGATTCACTAAAGTTAAAAGAAAAACAATTTTTAAGAAAAAAAAGTCACAGGAGCAAAAGTAATGCAAAGTAAGTAATAAAAAGAGAAAAACCTAAAGATGAACAGAAACTCTATTGTAACTCTATTTTTAAAGAACTGTGGGCTTGGAAAAGAAACCCAGAAATAGCTGTAACCTACTTTATGAAATCATAAACCTGACATTCTTGTATAGACAAAGAGGCCCCCCAAAATGGACCTTTAAACAGGTACAATGGGAGGGGGAAAAAAA